GGGAACACTTTCTTGAAATTATGTGAGGGATCATCTTATTTAAGCTACCGTCATTCTAAGTAAATAAGATGTAAACCATGATAAACATCACATGCAATCAAATAGTGACATGATATGGCCAATATCATTTTGCTCCTTTTGATCTCCATCTCCGGGGCACCATGATCATCATCGTCACCGGCATGACACCATGATCTCCATCATCGTGTCTTCATGAAGTTTTCTCGTCATCTATTACTTCTACTACTATGTCTAACGGTTTAGCAATAAAGTAAAGTAATTACATGACATTTATGTTGACACGCAGGTCATAAATAAATTAAGACAACTCCTATGGCTCCTGTCGGTTGTCATACTCATCGACATGCAAGTCGTGATTCCTATTACAAGAACATGATCAATCTCATACACCACATATATCATTCATCACATTCTTTTGGCCATATCACATCACACGGCATATGCTGCAAAAACAAGTTAGACGTCCTCTAATTGTTGTTGCAAGTTTTTACGTGGCTGCTATAGGTTTCTAGCAAGAACGTTTCTTACCTACGCCAAAACCACAACGTGATATGCCAATTTCTATTTACCCTTCATAAGGACCCTTTTCATCGAATCCGATCCGACTAAAGTGGGAGAGACAGACACCCGCTAGCCACCTTATGCAACTAGTGCATATCAGTCGGTGGAACCAGTCTCACGTAAGCGTACGTGTAAGGTCGGTCCGGGCCGCTTCATCCCACGATGCCGCCGAATCAAGATAAGACTAGTAACGGCAAGTAAATTGACAAAATCAACGCCCACAACAACTTGTGTTCTACTCGTGCATAGAAACAACACATAGACCTAGTTCATGATGCCACTGTTGGGGAACATAGCATAATTTTAAAATTTTCTACGCATCACCAAGATCAATCTATGGAGTCATCTAGCAACGAGGGAGAGGGGAGTGCATCTACATACCCTTGTAGATCGCGAGCGGAAGCGTTCAAGAGAACGGGGTTGGTGGAGTCGTACACGTCGTGATCAAAATCACCGATGACCAAGCGCCGAACGGACGGCACCTCCGCGTTCAACACACGTACGGTTGGGAAGACGTCTCCTCCTTCTTGATCCAGCAAGGGGAAGGAGAGGTTGATGGAGATCCAGCAGCACGACGGCGTGGTGGTGGAAGCAGCTGTGATCTCGGCACGGCTTCGCCAAGCTCCAACGAGAGAGAGAGAGAGGTGTTACGAGGGGAGAGGGAGGCGCCGAGGAATTGGGTGCGGCTGCCCTCCCCCCCCACTATATATATAGGGACCCTAGGGGGGCGCCGGCCCTAGGAGATGGGATCTCCAAGGGGGAGGGGGGCGGCCAAGGGGGACTTGCCCCCCAAGCCAAGTGGGGCACCCCCACCCCTAGGGTTTCCAACCCTAGGCGCAGGGGGAGGCCCATGGGGGGCGCACCAGCCCACCAGGGGTTGGTTCCCCTCCCACTTCAGCCCATGGGGCCCTCCGGGATAGGTGGCCCCACCCGGTGGAACCCGGGACCCTTCCGGTGGTCCCGGTACAATACCGATTACCCCCAAAACTTTCCCGATGGACGAAACTGGACTTCCTATATATAAATCTTCACCTCCGGACCATTCCGGAACTCCTCATGACGTACGGGATCTCATCCGGGACTCCGAACAACTTTCGGGTTACCGCATACTAATATCTCTACAACCCTAGCGTCACCGAACCTTAAGTGTGTAGACCCTATGGGTTCGGGAGACACGCAGACATGACCGAGACAATTCTCCGGTCAATAACCAACAGCGGGATGTGGATAGCCATGTTGGCTCCCACATGTTTCACGATGATCTCATCGGATGAACCACGATGTCGAGGATTCAATCAATCCCGTATTCAATTCCCTTTGTCAATCGGTACATTACTTGCCCGAGATTCGATCGTCGGTATCCCAATACCTTGTTCTATCTCGTTATCGGCAAGTCACTTTACTCGTACCGTAATGCATGATCCCGTGACCAAACACTTGGTCACATTGAGCTCATTATGATGATGCATTACCGAGTGGGCCCAGAGATACCTCTCCGTCATACGGAGTAACAAATCCCAGTCTCGATCCGTGTCAACCCAACAGATACTTTCGGGGATACCTGTAGTATACCTTTATAGTCACCCAGTTACGTTGTGACGTTTGGTACACCCAAAGCACTCCTACGGCATCCGGGAGTTACACGATCTCATGGTCTAAGGAAATGATACTTGACATTGGAAAAGCTCTAGAAAACGAACTACACGATCTTGTGATATGCTTAGGATTGGGTCTTGTCCATCACATCATTCTCCTAATGATGTGATCCCGCTATCAATGACATCCAATGTCTATAGTCAGGAAACCATGACTATCTATTGATCAACGAGCTAGTTAACTAGAGGCTCACTAGGGACATGTTGTGGTCTATGTATTCACACATGTACTAAGATTTTCGGATAACACAATTATAGCATGAACAATAGACAATAACCATGAACAAGGAAATATAATAATAACCATTTTATTATTGCCTCTAGGGCATATTTCCAACACGGGTGTATGCTCATTGTTTTACGTATCTTCATGATGCTTTATTTTGATCTAATAAAATTCACCCTTTATCGATAAAAAGTTGCCTGGCAAGCAGCAAAATCGTTGTTAATTTATGCATCATCCAATACTATTCTCTGTCTGGTGGTGCCTATCCAGTACTACTATTGGTTAGATTATGAATGGATGGCGGCTTGAGAGATTAACTAATCTGATAGGCTTGAACTTTCTCAAGTCACTTGAGTGCGTAATTTGCAACATATGTTGTATGGATCCGTCTAATCTATGCATAAGATACAAAGCATGCAGTGACATGTTCTGATCAATAGAACGAAACGGGCGGCCAGGGGGATGCATATGCCATGATGTGCACAATCGTCACAAGTAAATCCGAGATTGAGTAGAAGCATTGCATTCACCAAGCCAGACAGCGACAACTCACAACTTCTACCATCATGTATACGGTATAGTACAGCGCATACATAGTATTTCTAGTGCTGAATAAAGACAGCGGGACATGACCTCTAAAAAGAAAAGATAGTGGGACAGGATGGAGAGGCAATGTTGGCTGCGCACTGCTCGAGGATGATTCGCTCGCCGGTGGCAGGCCCAACAGTAAGTCCCACCGATTTTCCACAAGGAATCTATATTTGTATATCCTCATTTCCTCATTGTATCTGCACCCAGATCAATGTGAGCTTGAGATAGGCCTAGGCAAACGTGTGTTGCAAGCAGGGAAGATAGTAAGTCATTCTTGCACAACAATATAAAGGGCGGCGGTAAAGCTAGCTAGCGAGTTGATCAGCTGATAGAGACTGATGTAGAGCGACACACAACCGAAATATGCTACTCCATGGACTTATGAGTGGGGGTGGTCGCTAATTAGCTAGCTTAAAGACCATGACTCTTCTCCTTCTTCTTCTTAGCCGACCAATTCGACAGCCACCACCGCCCCCTGGCTAGCCGTGTAGCCACCCCCATGCGCAATCCTGGCCTGCTCTCTATGTGTGTCTCTAACCTATCATTGTCAGGGAAAAATCGACTGGTGGCTGTGATCAGCTAGGGATATGCATGCTCCCAATCGAGTGCTTTATGGGTTATATAAATAGGGCCCCGGTCAGGTTTACGAAGCTACCAACCTCATTATTAGAAGGAATACTGCAATTGCAATTGATACAGCGCCTCATCTCACTCTCTACTGCATATCATATAGCAGGCAGCCAGCTCTTTTCAAGCTCTCTTGGTTTTCTCCTCAATCGGCTAATTTGGTGAGTCCCCACACCTACGATATGGTTGTATTTGTCCCAATTTACTTTGTTAGTAAATTAATTTGTTTGGTCGACGGCCACTGGGTTCTGCATCTACAACCTAGCTAGCTGTAGTGATGAGTCATGGCTGATCGACGAGCCCCGCTTCTTTTAGTGCAGTGTGGTACCACCAGCTAGGTAGTACTTGCATTTGCATATAGCTCTACCATGCAAAGTGGCCTCATATTCCACCAGATTCCTGCTGGTACTCCTCATAGTACGCACCTAGTGTTGAGTCTGCAACTATATTCCTGCTTGATACGTGTACCTCTGAAACTCATAGTACATCATCGATCGTTCCAGTCGAGTTGTGTCTGAAATTCGTCCCCACAAGACTGTACGCAGATGCCTGTAGTTCAGTCCTCTAGTCCACACAAAATTGACAACAGGCCCAATCTTCTCCTCTCTAACCGTAGTGTTGGTACGCGTCCGGTACCAGTAGGCCGGCGCAGAAAAATGATGGAGAACACACGGAGAGAGAGGTGGAGGAGAGGCTAATCCTGAAGTGCACTCAAAGATACATGCTGGCTTTTGCATTCATGCCCCTAAAAGCTTCACTCTCACAGCTGCTACACCCAGCGTGCACTGCAGGTCCTTTTCATCCCGCCTTCTATCTTCTTCCATTCACACTTTCTGCAAGCTAGCTAGAGTACCGGCCCACATTCCATGCCATCAAGTGCTTGCAATCGGCCTAGATTAGAATTGTACTTTGCCCTTAGAAAATGGATCCAGGACATGATTGCAGTGCACTTATAGTAGATAGATAGACAGATTTGGTGTCGGCTATATAGACTGCTAGAGCTAGCCGGATTACAATATAAATAGCAGTTCATATGAGCGTGCGCATATACATACATGTGCTCTGCTCTGCTTGCTGTCAAGAGTCTGTGCTCATCTCTAGCTATCTATAAAGATCCTTTTCACCTTCTTTGGTCCACACGCATACAACATATATACACGATCGGTCGATCGGTGGACCAGCTAGTACCATTGTTTCCCCTCTGTGAAGATCAGCTGTGGCCTCCACACATGCATCTACTAGTAGTAAGTTGAAAAGGTTGTGCTCTTGATTTCATTTCAGAAGACATCGAGCTAGCTTGCTACCAGGCAGAAAGGTAGATGCTAGCAATGGAGCATCAGCAGGAGGAGTCGTGTGTTCCCCCGGGGTTCAGGTTCCACCCCACAGAGGAGGAGCTGGTGGGGTACTACCTGGCCAGGAAGGTGGCCGCCCAAACGATTGACCTCGACATCATCCAGGAGGTCGATCTCTACCGGATCGAGCCATGGGACCTCCAAGGTACTACTCATCTGAATTTTGTCAGTCCCTTTTGTAATTTTTACCCCCTCTGTTCCAAAATACATGTGGTGGTTTTGGTACATAGTGTTCTAGTGAGGTGGTGATTCAAATTCAGAATTACAACAATAATGGATGGTGCAGACAGGTGCGTCGGCGGCAAGGGAGGACGGGGAGCGCGTCAGGTAGCGGAGGACGAGCAGTCATCGTCGGAGTTGTACTTCTTCAGCTTCAAGGACCGCAAGTATCCGAGCGGCACGCGCACCAACCGCGCCACGGCGGCCGGGTTCTGGAAAGCCACCGGCAGGGACAAGCCGGTGACGTCGTCCAGGAGCCGGGGCGTCATCGGCATGAGGAAGACGCTCGTCTTCTACCGGGGCCGCGCCCCCAATGGTAGGAAGACCGATTGGATCATCCACGAGTATCGCCTCCAGACAAGCGAGCACGCACCCACACAGGTTTTCCTTTAGTTCCTCTTCTTCCTCCTCCTGCCACACCTCTTCTTCTACTTCTTGAGAATTTGGCGTTGATGATGATCATGGTGATGATGATGCAGGAGGAAGGTTGGGTGGTGTGCCGGGCGTTCCAGAAGCCCACCCCGAACCAGAGGCCGTCCTACATCTTCCCTGCATACGCCGACGCGCGGCCGTGGCTGCACATCCAAGGCGGCGGTGACCTCCATTACCTGCAGAGCGGCACTGGCGCTGCCGGGGCCGGCGGCCTCGGCTTCCCGAGCCAGGACGTCAATTACTCCTCCGAGGACCTGCTGGACTCCAAGCAGAGTCTCTTCGGCAATATCCCGCAGCTCATCGAGAGCCCGCCGGCGACTGCCCTCCTAGGCTGCGGCGACGATGCCGTCCTCCAGCAGCAGGGACAGGGACAGGCGGCGGCCGGCATCGACTGGAACTTCCTGGACAGCTTGCTGTCCACGTCACAGCTCCACGTCACAGCGTCACATCTGCACCTAGAGCAGTGAAGTAGATCCAGTTAGCTGACATACCGTAGCAGCATCGATTTCATTGTATACATGATTTCGTAGTAGATGATGTCCGGGACACTTGGTTGCCACTTGTACCTAGCTAGACTAGTCTGTTCCACTTACTGAACCCATGTGTTTTCCTGTGGACTACTCTGTTCCACTTACTGAATCTATGTGCTTCACTGTAGACTACTCTGTTTCACTTTGTAAATTTTAGGGACAGTTGATTTATCGTACGCATGATTTGCTAATAGTAGTCCACTACTGCGGAGTACAGGCATTATAGAGCCCAGATTAGTGTTTGTGTTGCACCTGATGGACACTCGTGAACCTAGCATCGTAGTGTGGGTTCTAGTTCACAGCAGGCAGACATAGCACTCTGTTTCACTCACTGAATTTGTTGAACAGCTGATCATCATCACTCATGAGTGTACGTATATGTTTCACTCAATGGAGAATCTTTCATTTGACAATAGGCATGAATTTTTTTTGGTTGATTTGTCTGGGCCGTGCATGAACGGTTAATTGAATGCATGATGTGCCCACGGGGATTAGTTAACATCAATCTAGCACGATGATGAGTTGATTAATTGAGTTTCCCTGTCGATCCTCTTTTCCTATGTAATTTAATTTTACGCGTCATGATATTTTATGTTTGAGTCATAATTAAGTCGACATGTAGACAGATAGATGGGTCTCCTACTCTCCATCGAGTACACATCGATTATCTATCGATAGTCAACAAAGTGACAGAGACTTGCACTGCAAGATAAGTATGCATCTCGAGTGCATATATACTGTTGCTTGTGGCCGCTGTATAATGCTGATCATTAAAATGTATTTTTCCGACGGGATCAATAGGTTGGTGGATATATACGAAAATAGGAGAAGTTGCAAACTTATGATCATGTTTCATCATTGTGTACATGGCTTTTTCTTTAAATATAGCAATAAACTTTATATGCCTTTAGTAGTATCATAAGCCATAAACTCTCTAGTAAACTCCTCATCAAAACTGTAACCTTCAGGAACATCTTCTAATATTTTATTTCTAACAGGAGTACTAGGATGTAACAGGTGATTCATAAGTTTCAGCCAATTCAATATTTTTGTCTTTCGCAATATGAGCATCTAACAATTCACCAAGTGGAAAAGTTTTATCAAGCAAAAGTAGAAGCATCATCATTAATATCATCGACAACAGAAGCAGTGTCTATTACATGCAGCATATCAGATTGTATAGCAGGTGGTGATGTCACAAATTGACTTAAAACAATAGGTGAATGAAGCGTAGAGCTAGTTTGTAGTTCCTTATCTGTCCTCATTCTTTAGGGCATAATCTTGGTCTTAGGGTCTAGAAAATTCTTCATAATGAAAATAAATTGCAGCAGATATTTAACTCCCAAGTGAACTTCATAAATAGGGCTATACTTGGAGGGTAGTATTTCACCCAAATTTATTGACTCGGCACAAAGGGAGCCAAAGAATACTTATAAGCCTTAGCAATTAAGTTATCACTTCAACAACACCTGAGAGTCACTTCCTTGTAGCAATTTATTAGGAGCACAGTAATATGATAGTAGTGATAGCAATAGTAACCGTAACAGTAGCAGGTTTGTAACAAACAAACAGAGTAGTAGTACTAGTTGTTGTTGTAACTTGAGTAAAGACAATATTATTGAAGCGTAGCCATGGAGTAACGATGGATATTTAGATGAAATTCAGGATATAACTGTCACAACCTAGACCGATACACATAGCTCCAATGAATCAATCATATCTGGGATATATTTCATAATAGTCATACGTGCTTGCGGTATGAACTTGCATTACATATTTGTCTTACTTTCCCGTGGCAGCGGGGTACTAATGGAAGCTAAGGGTAATTAAGACACTCTTTTTAATAGATAGCCGGAACAAAACATGAACACATAGTGAATACATGAACTCCTCAAGTAAAAGTCATCTCGGTCGATATCGCAATCATTGTCACCTTGGAGGTCTAAGGTTCAGAACGATAACAGGTGCATACAACTTGCAGGTAAGATCAACATGTCAAATATATTCATGAAAGCATAAGTGTTCAGATCTGAAATCATGGTACTCGAGCCCTAGTGACAAGCATTAAGCATATCAAAGTAGTAGCAACATCAATCATAGAACATAGTTGATAGTAGGGACCAAGCCCTAACAAATTGGCACACTTACATAAGAAATCTCATCCATCTTCATCTACATGCAGTATGCCTACAAAGAAATTACTCACTAATGGCGGTGAGCAACATGATATTGTTAATCGGTGATGACGACGGTGACGAATCCCTCTCTCTAGAGCCACGAACAGACTCTAGGTTATGGTTCCCGATTGAGAATAGGATGTGGCAGCGGATCCATATCATAAAACGCGATAAAACTTTCTGTCATATTTTTTCTCGGGAAGACGAATATATAGGTTGCATTATGCCAGCCGGAGTTCTATGGGCCCCACAAGCCCCTTAGGCGCGCCGGAGGCCGGGTAGGTGCGCCCTTGGCTTGTGGCCCCATGGTGGCCCCCTTTGGTACCTCTTTGCTTCAGTATTTTTTATTTATTTCATAAAAAATCTTTGCAAAGTTTTGTCCAATTTTGAAAACTTTTATTTCTGAACAAAAATAACACCATGGTAGTGTTGCTGAAAACAGGATTAGTCCAGGTTAGTTTCATTCAAATTACGTAAGTTAGAGTCCATAATAAGAGCAAAAGTGTTTGAAAAAGTAAATATGTTGGACATGTATCAGCTGCCACGTTCCTTCTGTCCCTACTGTCCACATTCTGCAGCACATGCCGACGTAGGTGCCTCGGCACGCCAGCGTTGCTTCCCAACCATGGTCAGCGCGGGCTGCACGGCAATAGAGAAATGGGGACTTTCTTGGCCGGGGGCGATTGGGGTTTTCTCGAGCAGCTGCCTGCTGTGCTTGGTCTATGAGGCTATGTGATGTGCGGGAAATGAGGCATCGACGCTCGCATCGCACCACTGTGGCACTGGTGGCGATCGGCGAAAAATGAGTGGCACAGATGCATGTCGTTCTTCTTCTTCTTTGCCGTGAATGCCTTCATGGTTGTCGTCGGCTTCTCTGCCTGCTTGCTGTCGGCCAGAGCAAGGGGAGGGCGTTCTATCGGAACCGTGGCCGCTCTGACCTTGGTTGACGGTGCAGTGGCCCAAAGCAAGCTTTTTGTCCCCAACCTATTCCTTGGTGCAGGGGCGGCGCGTGGGTCGATTCCAGCGACGATGGCCGCGGGGTGGCGGAAGGATCTTGCGGTTCCATTTTGTCTAGAATCGAGGGCATTGGTTGTGGCGGCGTCGAGACTAGACGACGGTAGCTGGAAGCGATAGCCGCTCGGGAGGAAGAGAGAGGCGTCCAAAATTATACTCTGATAGGTGTCGGTCAAGTATGTTTGAGAGATTTGTGCTACTTTTTTACACTGACTCTTATAAATTTTACTCCTCTTAACAGTTTGAGAGATCTGCTAGGTGCGGTTAAGTCCTCAAAATGAGGAGTTCAAGGTTTTAAGAGATCGGTTAAAGATGCTCTAAGGTTAGACTCGCACTGCTCTCATGTAAAAAGAAGCCCTCACATGATGACCCCCATGATTGATCAGACGTATCCCACAACTCCCGTGCGGCCGCTCAGCAGTGACGTGTCGCGCGCACGCGCTGTGTGGCGTTAATGTATTTTTTTTTTTGGTTTAGAGACAGGGGGGACCCTTCTCCTCTCCTCTCCTCTGGGTCGCCCCCGCATGACGACCAGGGGGGAACCCTAGCACCGCCAAGCCCTCGGCTCCCTCTCCCACCTCTCCTGCCCGCCGCCGGACAAAGCCCGGTTGGCGTCGGCGGCGGCGGGATCTCTCCTCCCCGCAACGGCCGGACCTGGTGCGGGTGCCGTTCGGCGGCGGTTGGCGGCGTGTTGGCGACGGGGCGCGCTGGCGAGGACTCAGGGGGGCGACGGCAGAAGCTGCTTCCCCCGGTGGTCGCGTGGAGGGCCGTTCGGGGCGCTCCTATGGTGGCCGTGGTCGATCTGTTTCAGATCTGACCGCCGGTGCCTCGGGCGGCGCCGGGATCTCGGGGCAGCGGCCTCGATCAGTGGCGCGCGGTGCGGCCTACTTAGCGGGCGGCACCCGCGCGCGGGTGCAGATGGGGGGCCTTCCACAGCCGCGTGGGCGGCGTGGAGGCGGCGGTGCTACGGCGACTCCTCGATGGCCGACCGGAGTTCCATGGGAGGCGTCTTTTCCGACTCAATCTACTCCTGTTCATGCTAGCCACGGTAGCGACTAAGGTCGACGCCAATACTGCCTGGATGGATCTGGTGGGTGGGCATGGATCCAGGGAAACTCCATGCCGGCGTGGCGGCCGCACCAAAGTCGACGCCCTCGGCGCCGATTCCCTTCCTGGAGGCTTCGGTGTGGATAATACGCCCCCACCTCTGCCATGAGCGCAGGCGAAATTCTCTGTTCCTCTGTTTGGGCGACGATGGCACTTTGGTGTCATGTTCCTTCCTAAAGGCGTCGGCCGAGGACTGCTCAGGGTGGTGGAGTTGCTGGTAGTTCAGAGTTGACGCGAGATGGGATGTAGGTGGAGCGGTGTGGCATCAACAGTATCATCGACGGTGGGTCTCGGCGGCATGGCGCAGTGAAGACTCGGCGTCAGATGCGCGGAGATGGACTTGTGCAGGAGGAGGAGGCTGTCTGGCGTCGTGGTGATGTCGACGGTAGCTAGACCGTGCAAGGTAGATGCAGCAGTACAACTCTGAAGATGGATTGGTGGCAAGTGGTTGCGGCGGCCTCATACCCGGCAGGCGTCCTGGTTGAGGAGCACGCCGGACTAGTGGGTGCCCATACCCGGCAGACGTCCTGGTTGGGACCTCAGGTCTTAAATGTTACGTCTGGCTGTGATATCTGTTTGGTATTAGGCTCAGGCTATCAGCGTCCCTTCATCAATTGGATAGGTGTAGCTACAGTTGCT